ACACACACACACACACACACACACACACACACACACACACACACACAGAGAAAAACAGTATGACTCACCATCAGCCTGCACATGGTGAACAGAACACTGAAGAGGGTTTCCAGCGCCCACAGGCAGTCCTCAGTGCCACTCTCTCCCTGCAAAGTTCACAAACACACACACAAAAACAGTCAATCCCCTTGGAACAGTGAAACGAGAAAAGAGCCCTTACACACATCAGCACGTTTCCCCAATTCACTTCAACCAAATGTTGACTTGAAGGGCCACAAAGTGATTGTTCCAAAATGTCCGCAGATGGTGGCGATGATGAAGACACTTCGTGGTAGCTTAAATCACCGTTTCCATTAACCGAATGAATCATTTTAATGCTCAACAAAACAGCAACAAAAAGAAAGATACAGGACATAAACTGCAAAGTGGAGCATCATCTGTATTTATACACGGATGTATGATTATACTTTGACTCATCGGATCCTACTACTGCTAGTGATTGTCCCTCCTGGGACTCCATACATTTTAGTCATTAGCGGCGCCTTGCATCTGCCTTACATCATAACATTAAATCAAAACAAGCACCGATTCAGAGCCGTTATCTCACCTTCAGACGGCGTCTGTTGGTCCTCACGTACCAGTTGGTGAGCATGTCCACAAACTTGACCAGGCGAGGCACGACGGTGTACAGGTGGTAAGCTGCAACAAGAAACCACAGTCTAGTTTGTCCTTTCTAGTTTAATGAGGCTGAATACAGAAACAACATCAACATTTTACCGGATGGGATCGATATGAAGATATTAAGTACTTATCTTCTTAGCCACTGTCCATATGAAGTGATGGCAGCAGTGTGTGTGTGTGTGTGTGTGTGTGTGGGGAGGATATCTGGCTCACCATCCATCTCAGCCTTGAAGAACTGGATGAGGGACTGTGTAAAGGACTGAATCCATTTGTCCATGATGTTGTCACTCTGCTTCGCTGTGTTTTCATTGTACAGGAACTGAATCTCGTCCTCCTGACACATTAGTACACGAGCACACACAGTTAAACAAAAACATGTGCATACATCACCATTGTTTATACAAAGAAGCACAATATAGTTGATGCGAAGCCACTGAAATCAGGCCTGAAACCTGTACCACATATATACACATATATTTATACACACACACACACACACACACACACACACGTATATACATACATACATATATACAAGAATATACATACATATATATATATATATACAAGAATATAAGCCAAACAAAAGAAGAAACACTGTCGTGAGTCATTAGCATGTTCTGCAGCATTTATTCACATGTGCCACCTACAGGCAAACAGAGTTAGAACTACAATCATTCCTATTTTGATAGTTGCTGTTGGTGTGTGTGTGTTTTGAGTAATGCTGTTGTTATGGAACTTTATAAAGTTACCGATATAGTTATTAAGTAGGTTAGACTGCTTTCACAGACTATCATTATATTATCGGAAATAAATTGTATTTAATTTATACAATCTCAGAAAAAGAACATCTGTTTTTTAATTATTTTTAAAGTATGTTTTGTTTGTCTGCGCGCGTGCGTGTGTGTGTGTGTGTGTGTGTGTGTGTGTGTGTGTGTGTGTGTGTG